CCATATTTAAGTACTATTAGCGCACCTGGTATTTGTACAAGACCATATAACATTTTCTATAACGTATTGACAATATTAGTATGCCAATACAACGACATTGGAAATGTGTTAAACATATTTTTCGTTATTTCCAAGTAATTGTTGATCTCAGTCTATTGTATTTAAAGAAATCCTGATATGAATTGATTAAATACACAAATGTTATATATCTTTTTTTAACCCGTATAAATCCAATTTTTATACTAAGTATATATATTTACTTGTGGTGGTACCGTAATATCCTGGATATCTACCGAACAAATATTAATCGCGACATTATAAAATTATGATCAAATAATAGCAATACATGACGCTGGTAAAGAGTGTGTCTAGCAGATCAATTATTCAACACATATTTTAAATAATTGTGGTTAGTGATGTGAAAATGATCATTCTCCCACCAATTTATACAAAATCAAAATTTACCTTACTCATCATCTTTTAAAAAAATAGTGAAATAAATTTGCAACATATTCATTTGGATGATAGTTTAGAAGATTTATTTACTAGGATACATTCGTCAGGAATCGAGAGAGTAATATAATACTCCCTCCGCCCTATAAAATTATCCCACTTTAGTCTGAAAGGGGGATTAAAAAAAAATTATTAAAAAAGTTATAAAAGTAAAAACGTAATTGATGGTACTTTTGAAAATTTAGTTAAAATTAACGAAAATAAAAAAAGGTTGGTTTGTTGATTTTAAATAATGAATAAATTTAACGAATGAATTAAAAGAAACAGAGTCGTAGGAATATATTCATTTAAGATTTTATTAGATTTTTAAAAAATTATGAATATATGTGAATTTATAAAATTCACATAAATCATACAAACTTTGTTGTATTTTAGTTATTGATTTAATAATTTTTATATAAATTTAATAGGATTATTTATTGATTTATATGAATTTTATAGGATTATAGAATTTTTTAATTGATTTATATAATTTTTATAAATTTATATGAACCACGTCTATAGATAAAAACAAATAAAATATTGAAATTATTAAAGAAAAATACCAAAATTATATTAGTTAAAAATATATATTATTAGTCATGATTTTAATATTTATTTTCGTCATCTTCATTTCCATCGCAGTTGTACCTTGGTCTAATTTCTCATGTAGGATTAACAATACTGATTTTCTATGCATTAGAATAATTGTAACATAATACTATTTTTATATATTAATATTTTTAATTTTATAAATTTTATTATATTATCATTTAATATATCATTTTATTTTAATTTTGTTATACGTGTATATATGTTATAATTTAACAAATTTAGTGTGTAATGATAATGAGATGAAATGAATATGAAAATAAATTTAATGTCTCAATTGATAATAATTAGCTGAGCAAAAATAATTATTTGTCCAATTGTATATTACAATTATCAATTTTGATCTCATTAATTTTTTTTACTATTATTTATTATTTTTTAATCAATTTTAATCATATTCAAATTAAAATTTATCAATTTTAATCCAAGGTAGTTGACAACGATTGAATATCGGCCGTATTGAATGATTTAGAAAGGTGACTGGCAAATCTAAACAGCCAACACGCCTATGTTCATTACCCTGCACTGAACATGACAATGTTCATGCCCCTGTTAGCAATCATGTTTTGAATATGGTTGTATTTTTTATTATTTAAAAATATAAAAATAATCAATTTTTAATAATTAATGATATAATTGAAAAAATATATAAAAATAATAAATTAATATATATTTTTAATATTCATAAGTATATATTTTTCAAAATTTATAGAAAATTTTTATAAACAATTTTAATTTGTAATGTAAAATATAAAAATATAAATATTATTTAAAAATTTATATTATTTTAACTTAAAAACTTTAAAAACAACATCAATAATTTATATAGTTAATGCATGACTATAAATTTTTTAGTTAAAAAAAATATATTTAAAATAATATTCAAAATTTTTATTTTTAAAATTATAAATTTAAATTATTTATATTTAAAAATTATATATAATTATGATTATTAAAAATATATATTAATTTATTGTTTTTTATAGTTTTTTTGCAATTTTTTTAGAATATTAAAATATAATTATTTTTATATTTTTAAATAATTATAAAAAGTAATTTCGTTGAAATATAAATATATATGTGTCAATAATTTGAACAAAGAAATAAAAATGATAATTAATATGACGTAGAACATGATTATATTTAGAATACGGCCATGGACATAGTAGAAACATTACTGTGTTGAGAATTTGATGATGAATATAGTTAGGACATAACTGTGGTGAAAATATGGAACAAATAATTAAACAACCATATTGAATGAACACGGGCCATGTTGAGTGTAGGTAATGAATACGACGGTCATGTTGAATTTCACATGGCCACTGTAAATCACTATCAGTTACTTTGGAATTAAAATTGATAAATTTTAGTTTAAATATGATAAAAATTGATAAAAAGAATATTAATTATTATATAAAAACGTAGTACAAATCAAGAAAAAATGACAAAAATACTTCTCTTGGTGTCTTATAATACTATTATAACGACACTTGTGCAAAAAATTATACAAATATAAGAATATTTTTAATGTTAAGTACAATGACGCAAAAGGTAAATGAGACCCTTAGAGTCGGGCGAAAGAAGTATAATTAAACCAAGATAATTTTTACTCTAATTAGCTTGTATATTTTAGTTTTTGTTATTTTATTAAAAAATTATAAGAACATTTATATGTCAATATTAGTACGTATTTCTTATGAATCGAAGAAATCTATCAAAAATTTATACTTATCGTAAAAGATTTTATAATATACTCCCTCGTTTCTTTAATAAATTATCTATTTTTTTATTTTTGCTCCGTTTCATAACAAAATATTTATTTCATTTTTAATAAAGTTAGTTTAGTCTTTTTGTATTTATTTTTATTATATTTTAATATAATACTAATATTTCTAAAATTATGTGTAAAAAAATAAATAGACAGTAAAATATGAGACGAAGGGAGTATAATTTTGTATATATATATATATATAAATATCAATTAAAATTCAATAAAATTATAGGCTTTTTTCATGTCTGATTGTTGAATATTTAAAAATTTTAAAAAACGTTCAAATTTTTTTAAAAAAATTAAAAATATAATTTATTGGTATTTTTAAAATTGAAGTACATTTTTATACTTTGATATCCTCTACATATTACTCATTGCGAGCTAAATTTACTTTCATTTTTATTTTAAGTCTGTCCTCTAAATTTATCCCGTTACTAACCTCCTGAAATATTTCGGAAGGTTATCGAATATTTCAGAAGGTTTTGAAACGTCTCGAAGGATCACCGCTGACCTTTCCATATTTGCGCGCTGCAGACCCTTCCTCAACGCTTCTCCGTAGTCTCCTCGATATTGCTCGACCAATGTTTCGGTTCGGGACATCCTTCCCAACTTGAACTAGGCATTGCTAGGCCGACAGAAAGGTGTTCGAGTAGGAATCGTCTGACTTGTTACAAGTGGTATCAGAGCTGCTGCGATGGCGACAGACAAGTCTGATGCTGAGTTTGGCAAAGTCAACAAAATTAATATTTAACATAATTTTATTCAATATGTATTTACAACAAATATCATTATCTTTATTATATTCTCTCTTCTTCTTTTATTTAATTCTAACTAAATTCCTTTTTTATTTTTATTATTTTCTAATAAAATATGTTGTTTTATTTTATTTTATTCTTATTAGACACAAATACTCTAATTTTACGGAATGATGGAGTATATATTAGCTTAAATTATATAATACCCTTTGTGCTTTATTAAAAATGTACAAAATATATTTTATTTATTGTGTGAAATATCTCTACGTTAATGTAAAATTTGCACAAAATAGCCCCTTGTGTCCCGATATTTGAGTCTAAATAAAACCTAAATTATACAAATTTTATAAAAATAAAAAATAAAAAATAAAAAATATCTTAAATAATTTTTTTAATAAAATAAATAAAAAATAATTGATTAATCTTTTCTTTTATATTTTTAAGACAAATTGGTATTTGGTTTTTAAAAAACTATAAAAATAAATGATTAATTAATTAATTAATTAATTATTCTATTAAAAAAATCATTTAACATATTTTATTTTTCTTATTTGTATAAAATTTGCGTCTTTCTTATTTGTATAAAACTTGAGTAAATTTATGATTTATTTAAAACCAAATATAAGTTTTTGGATAAAAAACAAAGTGTTTCGTGCACACTTTATATTAACATAAGGGATTTCATACAATAAATAAAATATAAAATATTTTTTTACATTTTTAGTAAAAATATAAGAAAGTGTTATATAATTTACCCTATATATTATAGATTTTATGAGTGTAGTGTATACATATAAACAATAGAAGTTAAGGTCAGACCTAGTAAAAACTCAAAATTTTATATCAATTTTTGGTCTCATTCAAATGAAAATTTATCTGACCACGGTGTGTTGGCTTGAACAATGACGTGTTGGATGACTCAGAAGGTGACTGGCTGGGCGCCCCCCAGTCAGCCAATTACCCTGCACTTTTGAACAAAGTCTTGGGCAGTAACACCCCATGTTCAGAAGCAGGAACACCATCATGTTCAGAAGTGCATGATAGTCAACACTGCTGTGTTGGCTGTCTGAGACCCTCAGTCAGTCACCTTCTGAGTCCTCCAATACAGCCGTGTTCAAGCCAACACGACTGTGTTCATCCAGTCAACTATGTTCGAACTAAAATTTATAAATTTTTATTTGAATAAGAATAAAATTGATAAAAATTTTGAATGATATCAAAATTGATAATTATGATGATAATAATAATAATGAATATGACCGAAAATTAATTTGAATAACGAATAATTACGATAATGAATAAGACGAAAATTAATTTTGCTCTAAAAGCTTTCACGGCTCGAATAACGAAACATGTACAACAAAACAAAACAAAACAAAGAAACAGAAAACTTTATTGCCCCCGTTTTACTCTTGCTCTTACCTTCCTCACGCATAGACAACAACTCAAAGACGCAGCGACTCAACTCAACTCAACTCCGGTGCTGATTGATTCGTATCGAAGCAGTTAGTCGAAGTTGAGGTTCTATTGACCGTAGGGATCTCTCCCATCTCATCCCATCTGGTGCCGGAACTGCACTTCACTTCGGGAGGGATCATCTATTCCTGTGCGTGTTACAGGGAAAGATCACAGGAGGACTGTTTGAGGCAATGGTCAGTCAAAATTCAGGTGCAATGTCGATCATCACTATCTCGTTTCTCCTATACGTCCTTTCCTGGATATGTTACTGTGTTACATTTATATAACTAAACTAACTCGATGTGGAGAATTGCCTATTTGAGCTGCTGAAAATGCGATTTCCGTGTGGGTATGAGCAGTTGTCATTCGCCTTGCTTCTTACACAGTTGGAAGGCTTTGGCGTTGGGAGGCGGAACGAAAATTCCGGTCTACTAGAAGCTTTACTTAATCTCTGTGCGCGCATTTTTGTTTTGAACCCTAAAATATATATTCAATTTTGGTCAAATTTGTATAAATTTAGCTCCCACGAAAACGAAATTGCTTGTTTCAAAATCTGATTAGAGCTTACGATCTAGGATCATTCTTGACATGTGCTTTTGTTTTGTCATTTTAACGCCGAGAGGTTAGGGTATTTTGTGAGTCGTAAATGCTGAAAAAACTTGTGGGAACTAACATTGAAACTCAATACATTAAAAATCCAAAATTCAGTATTTTATTTTAATTGGACTAAAATTGAATCCAATTGAAGAATTTATGCTGTTCTATAAGAAATAAGGGAATATGCTTTCATTTCTTTTGGATGACCTGGAGCCATTGACTCATTCCTTTGTTCTTGAATAAGTTTATTCCCAACTTATTGGCCTTTTTATGTATGATGCCCATATCAAAATTTTTCTAAAATTTGACTTTTCTTGGTTTGATGTTGCTGTGATTGCCCTTCACAGCATACAAGAGTTTGGCAGTGGATTATAACAATCACTTTGTATAACTATTAATCTTGATTTATTTCACTGCTTCCTCTGCTATTAGACATATGCTGCTAAATATTAAGTGGAATAAACAAATGTGTGAAATAAACAGTTGTTTTTGTTTGAAGATAGAGGATTATTAGTTTAACGAGCATGAATGGCTAATACATTCTTGCAGAATTTTCATTAAGTAGCATTTGGTGGCTTTCCGTGGAAACTGATACAACTGCCCTAAGTTATTGGTTGAACTGGAGAGTTTTGGCGTGTGCAATATGGGTCCTATTAGGTATGGCCTTAAGTGCACTTCTAATATGGAGATATGAAGGGCACCGAAAAAATCAACAAAGTAGGAATAAGAATGAGGGTCCAGGATTTGTGTATAAGGATGAAATTTGGGGAACATGTTCAAGATGGGTCCATCCTATTTGGCTGCTCGGTTACAGGGTAGTTTGCTTCTGTGTAATGCTTGCATTGGTTCTTGCTGATATCATTGCTTCTGGTGGTTGGAAATTTAACTTTTATACCCAGTAAGACCTCTAAATTAGTTTCTTTGCTTAAATTTAAATTATGCCCTTCATAAAACCTTGAACTTTTTCTTTTTTTTTTCTTGTTTATATTTATTTTGATGTGTTTTCTTTTTTTTTTTATTGCTTAGTCACCATGCCCACTTTAGTAATCTTTCAGAATTTGGAATTTCGACCAGTTTCATGCACTGATTTCTAGTTTTTTTGTTCTTGTTATTGCTTCTATTTTGGATGCGTTTTCATCGTGCATAACTTTTGTTGTCCGAAGTTGTGGAAATTGCAATATGAAAAATTTCTAATATTCAAACAGTTTTTTTTTGTAACATCAAATCTATTCTTTGCTAAATTCCGGAGGTTATGTAAGATATGATCTAGCTTGCAACGTGAGGAGGCACATTGGAAGAATCAAGACTAGATGCATATAAAAGGATATCTTTTCCTACAAGCTTTAGTTTTTTAAGACAAGATGATCATATAATAGAGTTAACATGGGAAAATCACTGCTCTCTCTCTCTCTATATATATATACAAGCATTGCCATACTGATGACTACATTGGGAATGTGGCGACACTTTCATATGATATTCAGATAATTTTTATAACTCTTTCCTTGTTAATCAGGTGGACGTTTGCCTTGGTGACCATTTATTTTGGGGTATGTTATTAAGTTTTTCTTAGCAGATGTATTCTATGAATAAAGCATAATTTTTGTACAACTGATCCTCTTTTTTCTTAAGATTTAACTTTCTGCTAACTGAGAAAATATTTATGAAAAGGAAAATGGACTTCCACATTTGTTATCAGTTGTTTTTCTCTATTTCAGATATATATATTTTTTATGTTATGTTGGATTCTTGTAGCTTGGGTCCTCACTTTCAATTTATGGCTGCCTACATTACCGCCTTGAAGTGAAACTAGAAAAGGATCAAATCCATGATTCGGATGCAGACCATGACTCCTATCTGCCAGCCACTCCAGGGCAGTATGCAGAAATTCGTAGCTTGACTGAAAGCCTGAATCATCTTGATGAATCTAATTGCAGAATACTTGCATCAGGCTGGGGATATGCCTTGCAAATAGTTTTTCAGGTAACTATTCATTGAGCATGCTTGTTCTTTCTACATCATCAATTTGATTGCCGTGCATGGATTTTTTTTCCCCCAAATATGTTCATGAATGGTTGGCTAATCTTTTCTTTCTTTTTTTTTTTAAAATTTACCTACGATAAAAGCTTTTATAGTTTCGAAAAATAATCAATGTTCAGTAGTGGGGATCCTTACAACATGGGAAGGTATATATTTTCATTACATTATTACAATGGTTGATACATAATCATTCCATCTCAGATTATAACCTCACCCAAAATAACAAACCTTGAGCCATACTCGGCCTATTACCCTTCACTGGTTTCGATTGTTTAAATTATGATTCAGATGAATATTAAGAAATAGCCTACTTCTAGCCTCAAAAATAGGACATCCCACAAGAATGACTCTTTAAAAGTGCTCGTGCTCTCTGAAAACTAAAAATATATATCATTCAACCCCTATCGTAAAGCAGGTTTAAGTACCAGAATGATTCTGTCATTTTCTTTTTGAGAGTAATACTTTCTTGCCCATGACAGAAAACTGATTATCCTACCATAACATATAAGAAAAAAAAATCCTACCATAATGATTAGCATTTTACATGTAACTTAACTAATCATTTGTTGTTTGGAATGATAATACCCTATGGTAACCTAATATCTGGTCATTCTATGTGTGTCTCTTTCTTTTATTATTTTTCTCTTATGCCCTCCTGTTTTTGTGGCCTTGTATTGTCATGGAGTTTGCTAGAATCAGGATGTATACATTTTGAGTTGTAATATAATTAGCTTGCATGCGTAAGTTTCTTTGATAGATGTATATCGAAATGCAGTAGAGTTTCATAATCTAAATTATACAATTATCACTTATCCTGTTTCTCATCATTTCTTTTGACTTCTAGTGTAGATGTGCGCTGGGGCTGTAGTGCTCACGGATCTCGTCTATTGGTTGATAATTTACCCATTTCTTACACCCAGAAGTAAAAACGTAACCATTGTAAGTATAACTTTCCCAACTCTATGTGTTAAATCGGTAGATTGTTCTGAGCATTTACAGCTCTATGAAAGTGTGACTTTTTCAACCTTAGGGAAACAGCATTCTTCTCTTTAGATTCGTCTAAAGGTTCTTTTCCATAATTTCCACTTTTAAAACTTTTATTAGTTATGGATAACTTTCTCGGTTATATTTATAGTTTAAAACTCTGAAATGATCACTGATCCTGATTAATGCTTACCTCACGTCTATTTCACTCGATAATTTTACACTTTTACTATCTGCAGCTGGTAGTGTGTATGCATTCTGTCAATGCTGTTCTTCTCCTTGGCGATGCAATTTTAAATCGCTTGGTAATCTCTAATTTAGTTATTTTCTTTCTACTACGTAGATTTAATGTATGACTAATTGAAACACCAACTATATCCAGCGATACCCATTCTTCCGAGTTGCCTACTTTATTCTATGGACATCTGTCTTTGTTATTATCGAGTGGATCATCCATGCTTGTGTATCAGTGAGGTATCATTTTTATTTTTTGCTTCATAAAGTGTCTTCCAGCCCTTCTAGCAAATCAACAGCAACAAGAATCATTCTTTGATGACCTGGAAAAATTCTTAATTGCACAGCTGGCCATATGCTTTTATGGACTTGTCGTCACCATATGCTCCCGTTTGGTATGTTCTTAAACCCTTTTGTTTGCTAAGAGTGCACTCGGTAGTACTTATTAACTTATGTTTTTAAGCTTTGTACTTTCTGTGGCGGAATATGTTTGCATCCTAGTTGACATGGCTTTGACTGCCCTTAGAACGACAAAATTGTAGTGGACCAGACTATATAGAAACTGAACTATGTGTGAGGGTTCTTATTGTACGCAAAGGTGAACTGGAGTAGAAATTTTTGTTTGCGCTGGTTCTAAGACTGTTGAAAATATATGTAGCTAAATAGTTATTTTTAGAAGTACACTTGTCTAATATATTTATTCTTTGCAATTTTGATCCAACCACCTCGTATGTAATAAAAACATACAACATATATTATATACAGTATGATGTGTTATAAATATAATATGCTGTATATAATATATGTTGTATACTTTCATATGAATATATTGATTGGATAAAATTAGCATCATATTGATTTGACCCGATCAGTAAGGGATCTGCCGCCTTATATGACCCTGCCGGGAAATGATCCAGCACCGCCATATTTTCAATGGTGCTAGTTACGTGTGTGACACTTTATGCATTGTCGATTCTCACGTGTTACTTTTTGCAAACACATGAAATGTCGCACGCAGAATTAGAACTATTAAAGCAACAAACAAGTAAGATACCTAATCATTTTGGAGATACAATCTAACTAAAATACCATGTGAAACTTACAAAGGTTTGGCTTCGGATCTGTGCTAGTCTACTTGGGTAAAAACCTTTTTGCCAAAGTGAATTCATTTCATTCATCTTGTTATCTCAAACATTCTGTGTTGAGCAGCACACTTGTTTTGCCTGTGCCACGAGAAAATTCATACGAACAAATATTTTTGCAGGTATGTAGCCATTGGGTTGCTGCTTTTTCCATGTTTTGGGATTTTTTCCCTCGTTTTCCTGCTAAAGAACCAATGTTCATCACGGTGATGTTTTTACTATACAAGACTTCGATATTGCACATGTAATCAGTCTCTGAACTGCTTATTACAGTTGGAAGAATCTTTAAAACAGTATACTGATCTGCTGAATCAAGTTTATATAGTCCCTCCCTTATGTTTTGTGGTTTAGATTGTTTCCAGTGTATGACGATGCTGATGAACTATAATAAAGACAAACACTACAGAATTCTATGTATTCCAATATGACCAAACTAAATTCTGTTATTACATTGTCGATATATTTTATTATTTTTATTATTATTTTTCTTTGGTACTTGGGAACCTCTGGTATTTGGAGTGTACTATAAGTAAACCTCCAGTTGAATCTAATAGCTTGCAAATTAGGTCCGATAAAATAAGTTGAATTAGACGAACTATGTGTGATAGACAAGATTAGATGTCAGGTGTTTGAACTCATGCTTCTTTGGTTATATATGCTAGGGTTTGGATACTCTAATACTAAGTTCGAAGTTTTGGTTGTTATTTGGGCTTTACTTAATTATTAAGGAATGAGACTTGTTTGATTGTGTAATATATATTTGATTTAAAATAAATTTAATTTTTTTAAAATTTTTTTGTAATATTTTAATAAAATTTTATATACTTGGATTAAGTATGCAATTTTGTTTGGGCACAAAAATTAAATAATAATACTATTAATATAACATTGTGATGGATAAAAAATAAAGCGGTGATATTATAGAAATTTTGTTAAAGAAATGATAAAAAATATTGTGATAAGTAAAAAAATATGAAATTTTAAGTTTATATAAATACATAAAGTATATAGTTATATAGTTATACACTATTATAAATTAATTTGTAAAGAAAATATGAAATTTTAAATTTATATAAATATATATATTTATTATTAAAATAGATAGTAAAGTAAATTGCTTAAAAACTCCTTGTGTTTTTAGTTGAAATACATAAAATTATTATATATTTTATTTATGGCATACAACTCATTTGTGTTAAAGTTAAACTATGCAAAAAAAAAAAATAGTATTTTTGTCCAAATGTAATGTTTGATTGTAAATATATAGATATATATAATTATTCCAATTTTATATAAATAATATAGATCCAATATTTTAAATAGTCTTATTTGAATAAAAAAATAATAAATAATTGATTGATAATTCATTATATATATTGTTTTTTAAAAATTAGGTAACGGTTTGCTTTAAAAAACTATTAAATGGATAATTGATAAATTATTTATTTATTTATTTTATTCAAAAATATATTTCATGTCTTCATTTACTTTTGTGTTATTGTATTTAAAATTAAAAATATCCTTATATTTGTATAACCTTTTACATAAATGTCATTGTAATAGTATTATAAGACACTAATAGAAGTATTTTTTTGTCATTTTTTTTTAATTTGTACTATGTTTTTATATAATAATTAATATTCAAAGATGAACACGCAAAAAGTAAATGAGACTCTTAGAGCCAGACGGAGGTAGTATTATTTAAGATATTTTACCATTTTTATCTGTATAAAACTTGTATAATTAATTGTGTGCTTAGAATCAAACATCAACTTTGGACGAATATAGTACTTTGTGCGCATTTTAATATTAACATAAAAAATTTCACGCAATAAATAAAAATACGAGGTATTTTGTGTATTTTTACTACTCCCTTCTTTCATTCATTATCTCCTTGTTTACTTTTGGGATGAAGATTTTATTATATTAATATATTTTAGAGTGTAGTGCAAATGAGAGATGTAAAGATAATTTTGTCCTTATTTTTTTATGTAAAAATAACGATGTGATGATAAAATATGAATATTTTTGTATTCATATGAGATGTAACTTTACTAAGAAGAAAATTGAGAAAGATTTGCATGGACAAATAAAAGTAGAAAAATGAAAAGATTTTGAGTGGAAGAAGAGAGCTAAACACAAGGGTATATTATATAATTGGCGAAATTTCACAAAACCCACTTGTGGTTTAACGAAATTGCGCTAAATCTTTGATATTTCCAAAACTGTGTTAGTTTCCCTCGTATTTTCATAAACTCTACGTTTAACCTCTTTGACCGTCTCTATTTAACGGTATTTGACTTGCATACGCTTAAACTACGAAAGAGTTTCAGAATCTCTATTTCTAAACCCTTAAATTTACAATTATACTTATTATTTCTATATTTAGCCTCAAGAAACAGTAAATATATTTAGAAATAGTTGTTTTTCTCTAATTCTAAATTTTTTTCTAAAAAACAATTATTTCTAAATATATTTACTAATAAGTATCTTTGTAAATTTTAGGGGTTCAAAAAATAAAGATTCTGAAACTCATTTCCAATTTGAATGTGTGTAAGGTCATACACCGTTAAATAAGTATGACCGTTGTGGCCTCGGTCAGCTTCTTACTAGTCCGCTTGATTGTAGAATTTTTGGTGCCATCAAATTCCGGTTTGAAACACCCACTAGTTGGGGACTTTGTGCCGATACTCCTATTTGAGTGTTTAGGGTTTTTAGTGTTTGGGGGATTGGTAAAGTTGGCCTTTGTTGTGGGTTTTCAAGAATAATTTAGATTGATGCACATTTGGAGCTTCATGAGTATTCAATAGGTGAAAGATTGCTAATTCTCTGGAAATTTTGACTTGCCATGTCTATTTATTTTTAAAATTTGAGGTGAAGATAATTGTTGGGTTTGTGAAAGAAGGTAAATGAGACAATTGATGGATTTGTGAGTATGAATGAAAGAGGAAAACATATCTTAATGTGCAAATATAAAAATTAAATACTATAGGTGAAATTGATAATTTAGTATAGCCAAAGAAATTGAAGGGAAACCATAAATCCGGTAAGTATGAACAAGGGATTGAAGATGAAAGAGAAAAATTAAATACTCTCAAATTACTATATATATATATTTTTTATCACTTTCATTCTATCCCACTCAAACGTATTCATTTCCTATTTTACTAAAGTAATTATACACAAGTATCAAAATATCATTAATTTTGGTACGAAACATTTGTAATATCTTAAAAGGCCCAAAAATCCACGCACATCCCGTAACATTTGAGGTTCAGGCCAAGCAAGAACAACACGTACCTTTTCGGGGTCTGTGGGTACTCTATCAAGAGAAATAACATGACCAAAAACTCTAAAGGCTTACAAACAAACCGACATTTCTTCTTATTTACCTTCAATTTGGTGTTCTTGTAAGAGTTGCAAAATATACTATTGCACCAAATGATCATTCCATGAGCACCTATAGATCAAAATTTCACCAAAGAAAACCAAAATAAACCTATGGAGATATGGTTGGAGTAAATCCTTCATGGTTGCTTGGAATGTTGTACAGGCATTCATCAAGCCAAAAAGCATGACCAAGAATTTATAATACCTTTTGTAGGTTTGAATTGTTGTCTCTAACACATCTGACTTATGGACTCGTAGATGGTAACCAACCCGTAAATCTAGCTTTGTGAACATCAAAACCCCTTCTAGCTCATCAAAAAGCTCTTGAATTCTTGGTATAGGGTATTTTTTTGGAGCGGGCACCTTAAAAGCTCCTAAAAATTAATGCAAAAATGTCAACTGCTATATTTCTTCTTCACCAACAACACATGGTTGAAGTAAGGATTTGGACTTCGATGAATCACCTCAGTCAAAAACATTTTGTCCACTAGCTTCTCGATTTTATCTTTTTCCATTTTCCCGTAGTGGTAGGATCATACAAAAATTGGGCCTGATAGAGGGTGTAAAACAATCTAATGACCTGTTGACCAGGCAGCGGGAGGTTGTAGGCTTGCCCAATACTTCCGAATTGGTATGTAAAATATTTTTAATTTGCAGGTGCACCACTTGCGAGTGAGTGGTGAGGAGCTATACTCACATAACTAGCCGAATCGAAAAACATAGTTGAATATTCCACTTCCTTAATGTGTAGGAGGGTCTCAAATACCACTCGACTCCATGACAAAGACTTGTCATCTTATAAGCTCATCTTTTCTCTGTACCTCACAAAGATCATACTCATAGTCTTCCAATTAATTTGAACATATTCTAATGTCTCTAGCCAAGTGACTCAAAAAAGTAAATCAACACAACCCAATGGAAACAAGAAGCAATCAACTTGTATCTCATGACAACCGAGGCGGACTTAAACACCTAGAGACATCCCTTACACTCCAATCATCGCCCATTTAAAGTGTTTGGTATTTAGATACATTTACATTCGATTAATTGTTGTTTTTAAATTGATACATGTTTAAGTTGGTTTTTAAACAAACAACTTTAACATATATCAAATAAATTAATTATGTTTCGTGTTTTATATGATTGTGATGTTGTTCGGATGTTGGTCCGGGTGTCATCAAGAAATGGTTCATGTTATAATTATATTTATGTTGTTGTATATTTTACAATTTTGATTACGCTGTTGTATGGAGGGTTTGATTCGGCGAATCATTTTCAACCTTTTTCCTTACCTATGCTGTAATATATGAGTTAATATCTTTAATATTTTATATTGATTAAATATTTTGTGAGTTGCATCTTATTTTCGATGATATGCACATATTTTCTTTATATGTACGTAGGTGATAGCATTGACATAGTGAAGGTTGTTGTCATGGCTGCTATCGTTCCAGAGGCTACGCTCATTCTACGAACGACATCTAGAACACAAATACTCCGTGAGATTGTCCATGTTGAGCCAACCGACTGGACATTCAAGGATGTACGTAATCTTTTTTTAATAAGATTTTCTATTAGATTATAACTTAACCACATCGCAATTAAATTTTTATATAATTTTTCACTATGTTGGCAGCTCGTTCGTCATACGTAACTGCCGTGTATGTTCACTTTGACGTTGCATAGGGCAATACTGACTGAGCCCTTTCCGTTGGTTGAGCTTTCATATTCTGCTTCTTTTTGTGTGTTTGTTGCTATACTTCGCCCTTGGATTGTATATGTTTAGCCATATTACAAAATATTTATGTTCTTAGGTAGTGAGTGGTTAGTACAACTGATGGTGATACAGATTTTCTGTAATATTTTTATAATTTGTAATGTTACGTCGTAGTATTTTCTTGCATTGTACAAGTTTTTCGATTCCAATACTAAATTTTTTGTTATTATTGAAAAATAATATATTTTTTTTTGTTGCAAAATTGTGACCGTTACAAATATCAATACAAAAAATATGAATATCATTTAAAGTAGTTTTTTGACAACAAACTTATTGTAACAAAATT